CACCAGGGGGTGAGTTGGAAGAGTTGGAGCTTGCGTCGACGGAGTTGGCGACACTGTCGAAGGTAGAGCGGGCTGTGTGGGATGAACAGATGACAACGCTCCTTATGGCGAAGTGTAACGTCGCGAGGCCCAACAAGGGTGGGAGGCGTCCGGCCTCGGACAAACAAGCCGGCCGACCCCGTGTGGGGTAGCGTCACCCTCAAGAGTGAACGCCTGTGCTTGAACCCTACTTGCAAGACGAGGTCGACGAAAGAGTGCTCGTGCAAGCAATTTTGCACACGGGGGGATAAGTCTGGGGTTTGTTGTGCGAAACATGCTGGAAGAGCCCAGCGTCTCACGAGCAGGCGGCGAAGGCTTACTGGGATGGTGTGTCTAAGGGTCGCAACAGAAAAGGGTTCGAATGGCAGAGGGGTTCAGTTGAGACTGCTGGTTGAGGCGCACCTGTGATTAGCACTTGTATTGCGTTTTGTTCTTGGGGGCCGTTGTGTAATGGTTGTGCCAGGGTAGCCCAGGTTTTGCCAGGCACACTGCTCGGCGTTCGTTCGCGTTTGGAAGGAAAATGTCGANACTTGATTCGAATGCCAAACGAATTGAACGCACATATTCTCGTGCACCTGTCGGAATCCCCGTGAACCTCCAAGATATTCCTGAAGGAGACAAAAGAAACTCTCGCAATAGAACCAAGACACATGGAACCACGTTTCCGAATGTCTTTCTTGCCGAACTTTTTTTAATATATTTATGTTTATTTATTTGTGACACCCAAGGTGCAAGTCCGACCTGCTCCGCGCGACCGACAACAACCGTGACGAACTCGTGTTCCTATTTTCTTTGCACAACGAACGTGTTACGGAATGTTGACCCAACCCTTCACCATTAGCAGCAGCACGTGAACAACCAGCCTTTCCAGCATGCACAGTGACACACCAAGGCCCGCCCCGTCAACACACACGTGCGCTTGTCATGTTTGAGACCTGGCTGATATTCGGTTGATGTCGGAAATGCTTCAACTACCCTAGCCCGTTCGCCCATTGGGAAATCGAGCCAGCACATTCGCCCGCCGGTCTCGGCTTCATCAAAACAGACAACATAGCTACCTTGCCCCGCGTGCGTAGCCGATGGCACGTGCGCCACACACTACATCGAAAGAGCGGCAAGTACAGCTGCGGGCAGCGGCTGGTCGTCAGGCCATACCGCGCGGCAGGCGTGGGTGAAGCACTTCTGCCTCCTCAGCTGAACCCCACGACCTCGCGCGTTGAGCGCCGTCCCGGCGTCGTAGCAGGCCTGCACGCGTCAAGGGCATCGATCGGTGTGAACGCGACAACATGGTAGGTGGTGCTGTTTATGCCTGTCCACATAGATTCTCGACAACGAGAATTTGTTCCTCGGAAGATCAGGTCACGCCGCGAGGTGTTTGATGTTGTCCGACTAAAATTTAGTGGAACAAAGCACCAGCAATTTTGCTACTGCTGTAGCGCGTTTGACGACAGGCTGTGAACATTTCGACACAGACGATAACAACCCCCCCACCAGAACAATGTATACACATGTAACTCTTCCGCCAACACGCCCGTCGGCGTACTTCCCGCACAAATAAGCTTTCACTACAAGCTTCTTTGCCTGCTGACAGCAGCAGGACACGAACAACGTCAAAGGCTAAAAGCACCGATTCTCTCGCGGTGTCGAAGTTGTGCCAACAGCTGCAGATCGTATACTTCCTCTGTATCATAAGTTAGGGTACCTAAATTTGTACGGGCCCTTAACCGTGTCCGATCTGTTTTTCGATTTTTTTGTTGAAATCTTCGGAGTCTTTTTAGCAAGAAACATGTATTTTATTTTATATGCATGCGCCACCCCGCGTGCATGAGCGCCCGAGAAAAACCAGTCGGCCTGAAAAAGGCCGCATTTTGCATGTATTCTGCCCCCTCCGACCAGGCGGGGGGGGCGGGGCAATGACAAAAACAAGGCAAAAATACCAAGAATTATCCCTGACCCTAAACCTAGCCCCCCCTCTACTCAACGATCCATGACGCGTCCCCCATACTAAAAACAGCATAATAGTGGCCCCCACACTGAAAACAAGACACTTGGGGGGACCACACTAAAACCAAGACACTTACGGGGCAAAGCAAGCAACAGTAGGGCCCTCATCCAACCCCCCCCTCTACTCAACGATCCATGTCGCGCCCCCTATACTAAAATCAGTATAGTAGTGAACCACACTAAAACCAAGACACTTGGGGGTCACACACTAAAACCAAGACACTTGGGGGGTCACACTAAAATCAAGACACTTGCGGGACAAAAAGAAGGGTTGGTTGGTGGCGGGGAAAAAAAAGAAAAAGTCGACTATTCTTCCTCATCATCACTTGGACTCGATGCCGCCGCAATCTTTGAAGGGGTGAGAAGCGACGGCCGCCCACTTTGCTTCGTTTGAAAGGTCCAGCTCCTGGGTGTTGTCGATCTGGGTTTTGACCCGTTTCCACAACTTGGACGGGTACTTCTTTCCAACACCGTAGCGTTCGCAGATCGGGTCAAGCACGCCCTTGGGAATCCTTGACAACCCCGGCTGAATGCCCATCGCAATTTCTACCGCCATGGCATAGCGCCTACCAACCGATAATTCGGTGCCCCTTTTGCGAGGTGGTGTGCTGGGGGGCGATTCCATCGCTAGAGTAGCGTAGTAAAATGGATTTGAGAATTTTGTCGAGAATTCTCAAAAAATATCCCAAAATATTTTCTCAAAAATATTCCCAAAACAGGCCAAAATAGGGTACATTTTGACCAATAGTAGATACAGAAATAGATGTTCGTTTTTTGAACTTTTTTTTCCATCGCTTCTTCTTTGTTATATCTTTCTTACAAACCCGACTATGCTACCATCACTAACACGGTTGCACCCAGACAATCTATTGCATTTAGGTACCCTAACTTATGATACAGAGGAAGTATGTATGTGAAGTATTCAACCCAACAACACAACGTGCCTCTCTTTCCGGCTTAAAGTGTCAGCATGCCACAGACAGATAGATGTCGTTCGTGTGGCACTCCCACCACCACTCTGGCCTCGTACACATTTCCTGGCACACATACACAGCAGTCCACGTACACAGCAGTGCATACCCCAAAACACAGCAGTCCAATACACACACACACCTGATTCCTCATTCTTTTCGTTGTGATCTCAGCTCCTGCTGCCCTCTCTTCCACCATGCATGGTGACGTCGGTGTTGGCGATGTATTCCGCGTGGTACTTTCCGCATAATCCAGCGTATTGCTGTGCGGCGGCCTGCCTCTCCGGCAGTTTGCTGATATCAGGGAGAGGACACGGCGGAGTATCGTGGTTGCAGTACCGGGCACCAACAGCGACTGCGGCCGCTTGCAAAGCTTCGCGGAAACGCTCAGGTGTTTGTGCTGCAATGAGCAGTAATCCTTCCCAAACGTTAAGCGGGTTGCCTTGTGGACAGAAACCCTCAGCATGGTGCTGCCAGAACGAGGCTACGTCGTCCATGTCGTCCATTATTGTCGACGTAAACTGCGTGTGTAGCGCTGGCCAGAGGGGCTCCGTGGGGTATCGATATCGCTATGGACGTTGAAGGCATGCGGGACTTTTTCTGTACACTCTCCCTCTCCATCTATCTCTCACCCTAGTNTATCGCTATGGACGTTGAAGGCATGCGGGACTTTTTCTGTACACTCTCCCTCTCCATCTATCTCTCACCCTAGTCTAATTTAGCAGGGTACACCTCGGTACTAGTTTTTTAGGCGGATCCAGGCGGGGCGGTACTGCAAAGTGGCGGTATTTTTTT